AGAAATGTCCAGTATGTGGGTTGGGGCTCCCATATTGTCAGCATGAGAAAATTATTGTATATGGACACAAAATTGGGCAAATAAATCTGCGTATGTATACTTACATTATAATTCTTTTATTGGACTTCAAACAAATGAAAAACTTTAAGATACGCAAATGTTAGAGATGTGTCATAGAAATTAATGCATGTTATACAGAAGTTGCAGGTTTTATGGTAGGTTAATTTGGGGATTTAACTGCAAACTGCAGTGTAGCCATATGATTAAGTGATCACACCCATCAGACCTACTTAGCTGCATCTTACAGCTTATGACCCCTTAAAAGTATAGTTTTAACAGTGAGGCAGGACTGCAGAATAGTTATGACATGTGTCCTAAGGAAGTTTGTTCTTTAGCTGATGACCTAATCATATGGGGTGATGGACCACTCCTGCTTTGGTGTGTTCTGCCTCATCAGTAACAAAATTAGTAGGCATTAAAATAAGCTAACGCACATTAAGTGTCACCTAAACACTGTCCTCTTTAGTTAATGCACACTAAGACTGGATAATGCACATTTTTACCTCACAATGGAGGCACTAGATTTAATGAGCATTATTTAAAGTGTATTAATGCATGTATAGACATACCCACTGTGTTCTGCTTCCCAGGATCAGGCCATGTGCAGCCTGTTTGGTTCTGTGCAGCCCCACACTTCTCTCCTGTGCTCTTTGCCACTCTACTCAGCTTTCTGCTGCCCTGTGCCACCCCCCTCAGCTTTCTCCCGCCCTGCTTGGCTCCCTGCCACTCTGCTCTGCTCTCAGGTGCCCCATGCCTCCCTGCTCTGCTCTCTGCTGCCCTGTGCCTCCCCATTCTGCTCTTTGCTAACCTGCTTGACTCCCTGCTGCCCCACTTTGCTCCATGCTGCCCCTTGCTACCTCACTCTGCTCCCTGCTGCCCCACATTGTCCCACTTGGCTCACTGCCACCCTGCAGCACCCCACTCAGTTTAGCAACCAGGATCCTGCTATCCAGTCCACAGGTCTCCCCCTGGGTACAAAAATTTGACAGCAGGGGAGCAGCAGTTAGCTGCCATTACTCCCCTGCCACCAAATTCTTAAGTCCTTGGGAAGCCTCATGGGCCAGAAAACATTGCCCCATCGCCCAGATCTGCTTCTTGGGCCAGGGGTTCATCATGCCTGGATTAGGGCAGTTATATTCAGCTGGGGTGCTGCTGCACCCTGCAGAACTGTGAGATCTTTTAAGGCTGCTTCAGGGTGTAAGCCCTTGCCTAATCCCTGTGTAAAAAGGTAAATACTTGTTTGTTCTGGCCCAGCCCCTGTGCATCAAGGTAAAAGCTCATCCCTTCCCCTAGCACAGCCCCCATGTGCGGAGGTCAACATTGCAATAAATTAGTTTTTGAAATGGAGACTTGCCAGATTCAGAAAAGCTGTGGAAGAGGTCCTGGAGTCTAAAAAGGTTGAGCATCATTGTGTGCTCAAGTGCTCCATTTGAACCTGACCTTCTGGGCAGCCACAAGAGCCAGAAGGGAGTAGGCAAGCTAGAGTGTGTGAGGGCTGTTGGCCTGCAAGAGAAGGGTCCCTAGATTACAGTCTGGACCATACTGCCCTCCATCAATTTCCTTCTAAGTATTATTAAATGCAAGGGATGGTAGTTCAGTCTCAATTGGGGCATGGGAGAGTAGTTGATACAATTGCAGACCTATGGTGTTGTGATCACTGTTCCTGGGAAGTCAGAAAAATGTAGGTTTATCTACCCTCTGGGCAAGGCCCAGACAAGCTACTGAGTCTAAAATGTAGAAGATGGTCTTTCTCCTCCTCCATTTTGTTTCCAGGACTTATGGTCAGGTATATGCATACGTAGTCATCCACGCATGCCAGGTTACCTGTCCAGGAACACCTTCATGTAACTGCCAAAAATGTCACTTGGACAACTGAAAAACTGCCACTTAGATGACCACAGGGAAATAGCATGCCACCTGTTGTGTGCATTCATATAAGTTATGTTAGTAACATATTGTGCTCCAGATGGTTCCTATTTTCTGCTGTGAGACAAAAACATAGTACTTAGAGCCACCACAAAAATGCCAGTTGAACATTTGTTTTTGTATTTTAAAAGAGCTATTAAGATTGTCAGTATTGTAATTCTGTGGTAAGTTGTGGTATAACTAAATCCATGACTCACAGAACAGAGGTGTTTATCATCTGTCAGGAAAGATGGTAGCAAAATGCAATGTTATATCGTTCCAAATACCACAGCTCCTGAAAAGGTTTTGCAATGCATTCTTAACTGCACTCGTATCACTGCAGGATTCATTACATCTGACTTGCAGGAAGTATAGTTAAAGAGATTTAATGAAAACCTTCTATGAAAAAACATGCAAATATAAAAATACCAACTGATATTAAATCATCTGTCTCTTTTTCCAAAGCACCATATATTGAGTCTATAACTTTCCTTATCCTGACCAAAACAACAAAATAAATTTGTAGTCTCACATCAGTGTAAAGTCACAGTCTGTAAGTACTATAATATGAAAATATCAGATCAGCATTGCATGTACAGCATCTAGCTATTTATCCATATATTTATAAATTATCCATATCCACGTAGACACTTTATAGCCACTGGCTAGAAAAGCATTCAAATTTCTGCTTTGAAGTGCTAATGCTTTTTCATCAAACTTATGAGGACATTTTAAAAGTGAACTAGTAGGAAGCATTGTATTAATCTCAGATTTAATTTTTTAAGTTTATGGTGACTTCTTTTCACACGCCACAAAGATGGATATGAGCTATAGATGCATTCTAGACACACATGTATTATATTCAATCTGCTATGAGTTATTTCCCTACTCAATCTATAATTAGTACCTCTGGGAGTATCTACATGCGATATTAATGTCCCTGAATAAACTCCTGCAGAGTCTGAATCAGAGTTAGGTGCTCCTGGGTTCAACATCTTCATGGCTAGGAACATACATTACACATAAATTGGTTTAAAGTGATCAGAAAATGGTTTAAACCTGTAACAGAACAGATGTTCAGTGCACATAGATCAGTTTGAAAATGGCTGAAACCAGTTTCAGATAAACCTGGTTGAATGTAGTATCAGACTTAACTGATTTCAGTCAAACCAGTTATGCAATGCTTGTCCCAGACACTTTGCTGGTTTAAGCTAAACCAGACACCTCCAGCATCCTGGCATGCTCTCTGGGCTGGGCTGGGCTGGGCTCTCTGCTCCACAGCAGGGCTGGTCTGTCCCCTCTGTTCCCTGGCTGGAGCTCTGGCAGAGACTTGCAGGCACAGCAGGATCTGCTGGCTTCCCTGTGCCCCTCTCCCTCCCCTCTCACCACTTGCTGCGTAAGCAGAGAGTCCTTCCTCCTCTCTCCCACAGCACAGACTGTAGCCAGCATGTGGTATGCTAGCTAATGCTATGTATGTAAGCCAAATAGGACAGTGTTCACTTAGGGCTTTTTGCAGGTAATCAACAACTTAGATGGTAATGTCCCTGCATTCCTTCCTTTAGAAAAGGCAGACAAGGTTCTTTGGGTAAATTTGATCTTTTATTAGACTAACTAAATAGTAGGAAAAATTTTTCTTAGCAAACTTTTGAGTTTAAAAACCCTTTGTCAGGCTGAGGAAACATCTGCAGTTGGTGTGTGCTCTTCCTGGATGGAATGAATAGTAAAAAAGCCAGAGGCTGGTATGCATTTTCCTTTGGAAAAAATCTGTTTAAGAAGAGCTTTTAATGACCAAGGTTTGTTTTCTGATAGTGTGTTAAATGCTTATAAAAGAGCTGATAAATGCTCTGTTATTAAGGGGGGGAGGATCCCTCCCAATCT